TTTATTGATGTATACAGTAATGGTAGCATGTGTACATAAACTTTATATTGTATACATAAGAATATTACCATCAATTATACGTATTACTATAATGAATACAAGAATGAGATTAATATGATACATATATAAATTTTATTCATTAATTGTACATGTGATTTTGTTTATGTATACGGTAATTGCACTATGTATACATTAGTTCATATTCATCGTGTATTCAGTGATTTGTATTCACATAATAAACATGTATACTTTAATTTAAATTGACACTGGAATTCATTGGTATACATTGAGTTGTATTCATCAAAATCAACATTCTGATTTTTTACGAAGATCTTTCTTACCCATGAAATTAAGAACAAAAATTTCAAAAAACTATTACCTGAATTTTCGCCAAAAAAGTTTTAAAAACTTAGTTCCACAAATCACGAATTTTCAAAATTAATGGGGCAAGAAATGCTACATAATTATATATTAAAAGAAATTATTGGAAGGATCATCGATAAACATACAGTTATATCTGATTTGCATAGACAGAGTAAAATTAAGGAGAATAAGAGAAAATTTAGAAGAGAAGCAAATATACATATGAAAAGGATTTTAGAAAGAAAACAAAAGAAGGTTGAATAACCTAAATTTTCGCAAAAACAAAATTGAAAGAACTTCAATTCTACAAATCATGAAATTCAACAATTAATTTGACAAGAACAAGATTATATATAAAGATGATTTTTAGAAGTATCCATGAAAAAACATATTGTTATACCTAATTTTCATAAACAGATTGAATTAAGGAGAAGAATTGAAATTAGGGAGAGAATTACGTATGAAAAGAATTCTGGAAAGAGAAAAAGGAGACAAAAAAGAGAAGAACTCTATTTTAAAAGTGTTGACAAAATTAAAAAAAGAAGAAGATAAAATAGGGCTAATAAAACAATAATTTTTTAGAACGTGTGTTTGAGAAAAATAAGGAGAACAAAAATATATTTTTAAAAAAAGAAAAATAACTATTCAATGTCAAATAAATAAAACAAAGTCATTTTCTTGCTAAAAAATTAAAAGTGGGCTTTTCTTGCTAATTTAGTCTATAGGGTGTTATGATGTGCCATTTTGTCGGTAAACAAATCTTATGAGCGGTTAACTAGTGTAATTTTCTTATTTTCATAGAGCAATTTACAAAAATGATTATGTTTATAGGGTTATTAAAGTTCAATAGCTATAAGTATGGTATTCATAAAATATGACTACAATTTATGTCTTTTTCTAGCTGTATTATTGTATATGTTTTTTATTTTTATAGTTATAAACTAATACAATTTTAATTACAATGAACTAAATAAGGAAAATGTATTAATTGTACAAATTCAATTGGTATCTTTATTTATAAAATTTAAAGTATTAAATATCAAGGATATAAATGTTTGTAAAATCTTAATGTATTAATATATTAAATAAGATAAAGTATAACAATTTAGCATATGAACACAATAATTTGAAAAATGAATACACTGTTGTTAAACAAAAAATGAATACACAAATATAGTATACATATGAATCCATTGTTGTTAAACAAAAGATGGATACATTTGACAATTCAAAAACAAAAAAAAATAAAAAATAATAGATTATGTAGATGGCAAAGTGTGCAAGTATCCGGCTGTATAAAAAATTGAAAAATCCAACAAACGTCAATCTCTTTTTGGTCAAGATTTTCCTATAATACTTGAGTTTTGGTGTTAACTCATCTATTTGTTTATAAAAATATGATATTAATGTATTCAATTATACTTGTATTGCCTAATCAACCTTTCAAATTGGATAGATTACTTATGTATCCAAATATATTTGTATTCACAAATCACCATTTCAACTTGTGTTAATATTACAATACAAGTATCTATGTATATAAGTATTCTAATATACAAATTTGACAACGGAAAAGGGTCAAAAATACCCTTAAACTATTTGAAATAGCTCATATTTACCCTTAAACTATATTTCGGCTCAAAACTACCCTTTCCGTCAAACTATTGGGTCTAAAGTACCCTTCTTATTAACGGGAGTTGTTAAATGTCATGTGGATGCCACATTGCATGCCAATACTAATTACTCTTTTTTCTACTGCCACATAAACTAAATCCCTAAATCCTAATTACCAGAAAGATTATCAAATAAACAAATAATTTTTCCCTAAATCTAACATACCAGAATATTATAAACAAATCACAAACCCTAATTACTATCATGCTTTGAAATCGTAAGCATAATAAAATAAGTAAAAAGATTTACTAACCTACAACCATGAATATCCACTTTCAAACTCAGCCACCAAGAGAAACTGTGAAACCCTAGCCGCGAAATGAGGGAGAAGGGGTGAAATCGTTTCTGGAAAATAATGAAAAAAAGGGGAAAAAAAGAGAGTAATTAGGATTTAGTGATTTAGTCTATGTGGCAGTGGAAAAAAGAGTAATTAGTATTGGCATGCAATGTGGCATCCACCTGGCATTCACGTGACATTTAACAACTTCCGTTAATAAAAAGGGTACTTTTCACCCAATAGTTTGACGGGAAGGGTAGTTTTGAGCTGAAATATAGTTTAAGGGTAAATATGAGCTATTTCAGATAGTTTAAGGGTATTTTTTACCCTTTTCCGATTTGACAATCACACAAACCCAATCTCTTTTTGCTCATATTCTTCTTGTACTATTTTTTTAAAAATAACTATAGTCATTGTAATGTAGAAACGAATAATTCTTCAATCGAAAGCCTATAAAAATAGATGAAATATATGTGTATACAAATATGATCTTCATAAAAACGAGAAAAAAATCAATTAAAAGATATCTAATGAATTCAAATTACAAAAATTGCTCCTAGAATCATCAAAATGATCTTAAATTGGAAGAAATTTGGGGAGGGGGGGATACAGAAAATTTGTGATATAGGAATATTGATGAAATAAAAAGTATTAATGAGGGCAAACATGGGGAACCATTCACATAAAACATGTCTAGACATAATCAATTAAGTGTGTAATAATAACTTTCCTATTTAATATTAATAACTTTTCTGATTATTTGTATATAATTAACTTTGCCATTTATTATGTAGTTATATCCATATAACATAAAAAAATAAACTATAGCTATTCATTTTAAATGTATATTAATGTTTGGTATGTGCATGGGCTTGAGTTTTAAGAAGTATTAAGTGGCTCAACAAACAAAAAATTGTGATATAACTAGAAGAGAAAAAAACTAAATAGGTTAACGAGTGTGCCTAGAGTATAAAATAGACTCAATTAATACTTGGAGTATACAGAGAGCAGGCTCAACAAGCAACAGAATGTGCTTCAAGTAAAATTATTGTAGAAATTTGCCTGGAATTCTGGATTGGAATAACTTCATAAAAATCCAATCTTTAAATTGAGAGAGTCAAGAAGTTAGCATAAACTATGTGATAAACTCAATGACATAGTATTAATTAGTATAGTTATTTGCACAAAATTGTTATTTATGTTGACTTGTGAATACTAGAGGGGGTTTGAATTGACTTATTTTTAGGTGTTTTTGGTTTTTAAGCACTTTTTAATTTAATTTTTAGAGGTGTTTGACAAAGATACAAAGTGCTTAAAAGCTTACTTTAGGCTTAAAAAGTACCCCCTCCATTCCTATTTAGTTGTTACCATTTTAGGTTTCACGCCTCTTAAGAAACTACGTAAGTTTACCATTGTACCTTTATTTCATGTTCTGTTGAAGTCAAGTTTTCAATATATGAACATAACTTAATTTATTTTGATTAACTAATTTGATCAATGAACATAAATTAATTACTTAGTTTTATCATGTTAGACAAATTCAACACTAATATATTTCAAAGGGTAAAATAGGAAGAAAAGTGTCATTTATGCATTAATTTTGTGAAATAATAAATATTAAAAATCATCTATTTTTAGTAAAACGACATATAAATAGAAAAAGAAGAGTAACAAAAAAAAATGCAAAAGTCAAAAGTATATAGATCTACCTACTTTTGACTTTTGACTTTTGACTTTTAAGTGATCACTTTAAAAAAAATTGTCCAAACACTCGGAAATTAGCACCCATGTTGGGGTGATTCTTATTCTGGTAATAATCAAGCTAGTCCCATTATTTGGCATAAACGTTGAATTAAACTCAAGGATATGATCCACCATGTATTGACTTCTATTTTTCAAATGGTTATTAGTTGGTGTACCTCATGATTAATAAATTGTTTGCCTTTGTATTTCTTTATATTAATTTATACGTGAATTAAGTAGTATACTTTATCTGCATGGGGTTTCTAAATAAGAGAGTATATATTTGGTATACGCTTAGCTTAAGAACAAACAAATCAAAGATGTTGTATGCAAATTTTGATTCTAATATAGTAATATGCAAGTTTATGGTATCTAATTCATTTTGGAATTAGTCATTGTGATAGTACCTTAGGTAATTCTTGGTTATCCAAAATAAAGAATCATCCATACAGTATTATGAAATCATTTTCTTAAAACAACAACGTAACCAAAATTCATTTTCAGTCCTATGCTCATATCAATAGAACACACAACCTGACTCTAATATCAATGTACGATTAAATAGCAAAGCAAGAACAACGAATTATGTACCTTTATAAATTATAACCCAATGTTGATTATTGAACCCACCATCAAAAAACTCCCCAAGTCAAACTCCGATTCACTAGGACACAACGTTTAATCCACGAACTAAATGCCTTTACTCTCTGTGTATTTATAGGAGAAAACAAGTCAGAGAAAAAAAAAATTCTCTTTTGAAGAATAGAAAGTTTAGTGACACCCATTTCCACGTTAACTTATAAGTGATAGGGTGGGTTGTCAAGTCAGTCAACATGGAGCGACCCACAATCTAGAGCCAATATTCAATAGTAAATATACACAAACAATAATCTAATTAGAATATTAACTAGTTTTATTTATTAGTGAGTAATAATAATAAGTAATAAGTAGTACTTCATTAACAACAAATAGTAGAAATCTGGAATTACCAAAAATAAAAAATAAGAGCAAAGATAAAAAAAGAATTAACCCTCCCAGTACTCAACATCCTTCTTTTCGCAACTTTAATTCCTAAACATTTACGGCGTTGCATAGAAACATAAGCGACGATGCTGCCGCACCACCACCACCACTCAAAAACACTCTTTCATAATAATCCACACAAAACAACGATAACGAAAGTTCCACTTCATGCTGCATCCAAACTCTTTTCATTACCTCCGACTCATCAAAACCCGTTCCTTTCTTCCACTTCCTAAGCCGGTCCAAGACCGGCTTAATACACACCATATAAAGTCTCCGGTACCCTCCGAGAGCCAAAACCACCGTCCTCACACCCTCCGGGGGAGGAGACACGTGGCGAAAGCAAAGGTGCTCCCAAAGAGAATCATTTCTAGTGATGGAACACCATAACTTACAAACACATGCAGCTACACCTAAGGAACCACCATCTAGCCTTTGCAATATCACTATCAGCACATCAACATTGTCATTGATGAAAAAATTTGTACCATTTTCAAGTTGCACCATATTTTTTTTTCTCTTTTCAAGAAATGAAACAAGAGATAATAATAATTTGTGGGAAATGAATGAAGGATATGTATTTGTAGGGGTTTTGACTTAGGTGTATGTGTAGGGTATCATGGAAAAGAAAAGAAGAAGCCAAAAGGAAAAGTTTAGAGGGAAATATATTAGGACAAAGAATCCAAGAGTAGAGTTTGAATAGAATAGTGTTAAAAGGGTTTTGGGAATTGGTGAGGGGAAAATTATTGTTTGTCGTTTTATATGGAGTTCGTTTAGTTCAATGCTCAAATGAGTGATGACTTTTCGATGCTTTCATCAATTGTGTTATGTGTGTGCAAACATTATTGAAAAAAGAGAAAAGTCAAATGTGAACGTTATTGATCTTTCAACAAAAATGGATTCTCATTGAAACACACTAAACTTTTATAATTTTTTCCTATGAAATACTGTAATTTTTTTACTGATTTAATTAAAATATATTTACGAAAATACCTATTGAATAAGTACTTTCCAATGAATAATAGTAATGTTTTAGTAGTGTAAATGTCACGATCTAGATCGTCATAAGTGTCACCCACACTAAATCATCTACTGGAAGAACTGATAACCAATCCAAACTAAACCCCAAACATCATTTATTTTAAGCAAGTTCATCACATAAAAACAAGATAAACAGTTTTTCAAACCACTAAGGATTGAGTCTCCATAAACTCAATCAATAGCCCAAAACAATTTAGTAGTGAAAGAATTGAGCCCTCATAAACTCAATCCTATAATCAAAAATATTTGTGCGAAAATAAATCCCTAAGAATTGAAAGTCATGATATCAAAATTCTAATGTCTAAAATAAAGGGGATGCACCCCCGGAACTTAAAACAATAACAAAAATCTAAGAATGTCTTAGTCTAGAAAGTCGGACAAGAAGAATAAAGGAATTCGCAACAACCTGAAAAATAATTCATCCTTGGATTCGAAGTCAGACATCCCTTAACTTGAGGTCTTGGATCAGCTGGCCGAAGGTGACATGTACTCAACAAAAAAAGAATGTGTGCAATATCAGTACACAAACCACAATGTACTAGTAGGATCACACGGTCAATCCAAGATATGAATGTAAATAGTTTTCCATAGTACAGTAACACAGAACAACACATACACAATTATCAATGCGTACAGACTCACAGTCAAATATCATGAAACAACAAATAACTGGATACATATCCCACATGATCACAAATGCATTGTCTGGTCCTCTCATGGAGCCCAAAATTGTTATGCGATCTGTATTCCAAACAATACTAGTGATAACAAAAAACTTTACAGAAACAGTAAATTTTCAAAGTTTAAATCACCCATTGAAGAACAGAAATAAATTAACAAAAAAACTAAAATCTGTAAACATATCAGAATCTGTATGAAACAGAATGGAAAGGAAATTGAGCCCACTGAATGCACAGTATCCCCTCAAAGAAATTATTCCCCTCTAGTATCCGAGGTTTGAATTGGAATATATCCTATCAGGATAGAACAATCTTAATCACCAGTGTATTGATACCCAAAACTCTGGTGTCAACGAGCCACTCAACGGCAGTAAAGTACACGAATAAATTTGTGCAAAAGAAGAAGAAGAAGTTAAAAATTTCGTAACTAAAAATCTGAGGAATCAAAAGTATTTATAGCCAAGAAGAACTGGATCGGAAAGGTTGCAACCTTTCAGAATTCACACGACCATTCATGAAAATTTGCAACCTTTCAAACGGTCAATTGCAACCTTTCAGAATAGTCATCTCCAACGGCGGGAAATTCAAATAAACCTGGAAAGAGTTTTAAATAAAATGGGTCGCACGGATCCGAGTCGGATCGAGTCGTTTCGGATAATTAATTAAATAATTAAAAACATTTTGGCCATTTAATTTAATTTCATTAAATAAATAATTAAAACAAATTTTGTCCAAAAAATAATCTCTCGATCATTTTCCAAAGTCAAAGCCAAAGTTTGCCGAAGCCGAGCGACGACGACGACGACGACGGCGCGAGGGGGGTCCCTCTTTCCAGCCCATTTAACAACTAGTAGAAGTGTTTCTCTATTTAAATACTTCAATTTTTCTTTCCACCACCAATGAGGGAGAAATGCCTTTTCTTAAAGCATAAGAGAATCATTTCCAATTCCTCTCTTCATTTTCCCTCCATTTCTCATTAACACTTGCTATACCCAACAATAATACATATATAATCCTCTTGTGAAACCCAAACTCAATTTGTTAGTATATCGGTGTGGTACCCGAGCTATCAGTAGTTAGTGTACCGGCGTCGTACCCGAGCCAATCATATATGGATATTTTTGTACTAGGCGTGGTACCTGAGCTAACCGTTAGTATATATCAGGAGTGGTATTTAAGCCAATCATGGGGATATCTTGTATCAGACGTTTTGGTACGTACTCGAGTCAACCAGCAAACACAAACAATCATGCACAATCACAAAACACCATGAACAATAACACTTGAAACTACAAGTCACATGATCAGTTTATTGCATAAGATTATCAACACAACACCATTTCATATGCCTCCCTATGTTTCCTTAACATGCATTTTACAAATAATGCTATAAAGTAGTAGGCATGCATACATATATAAACCGAAAACATACAATTATCACCTACCTCGAATCAAGCCTCTTGTAAACTCTAAAGAACTCAAGATTTTCCTTTTCAAAGTGTCTTGACTTGTTCTTGGACTAAAACAATAAATAAAAACAACAATCAATCACAAAGGTCTAATTATACCCAGATTATACTCAAATCCTAACCCAGGACAATTCATGATCATCCTCCCTAACCTAGGGCTTTTCCTACCATGAAATCATCCCAAAAACTTCTCCCAAGAGTAATATCTTAGATTCTAAGGCTTAAGAATCAATGTACAAGATTGGGGAGTAACAATCTTACCTTTACGAATGAATTTAGTGGAAAATTGAGTGAAAACAACCCTAAATTACCCCTCTCAAGTCCAAGAACAAAAATGCAGAATATAAGAAGTTTTGGGGTTGTTTCTGCTTAAAATATGTTTCACCCAGCCATAGCAGCCCAACGTGCTATAGCGGAACTTATCCCGCTATAAAGGGTACACTCTTCTATAGCGGTCTAAGACTCGGTATAGCAAAATATGCGAACTTCATAGACTCGAAAATTCCTAAAAATCTCATTTTCACAACATACCTCTTTCCCTTGACGTGCTGAGCTATCCCTTTCACGCCGAATTCGATTTCGGGAGTTTTACTCGCCTGAATTCAATTTTGTGAAGCCCTATGGGTTCCTTAATATCTTGGTTACAAGAATATATCAAACCAAGCCCCGAAATTACACCCCCACCCATTCTTGGAGGGCCCTAGACCCACACCTATGCCAGATTCCAACTGAGGCTGGTCTAGCCAAAACTTTTAAGTCACTATCCTAAAAGTTTTCTATCCCAAAGTATTTCGATATTGGCCTATTCATAACGACCGGAACAAATCGTTACAGTAAATGCTAATTGTAAATCCATGAGTGTTCATTATTTGAATTGTACAATAATATTCAGTTAATTTAGTGAATTCTCTAGGTATTTTCACTATGAACTAATTAATCTGAGTGTGTTAAGCAAGTGGAGAATGCCATTTGAGTAAAATAGTCCATTTTGAATAAGATTTAACCCATTTCACAAACGAAAATAATCCATTTGATCAAATTCATAGTTAAGAATCGAATTGAATCGAACTAAATTAGAAAAAAATTAAAATTATTAATATCAATAAAAATTGAATTGAACCAATCGATATAAAAGAACCAAACACTCATACTTACTATAAAGGGTCGGTTTTGTGTCTCGTGGCTGCCTCTCGAGATTAAGGTGCTTAACGTCAAAATTTCACAAAGAATTGAAAATATAAATAAGCCGAAAAAAAACCCTCAACATATACACTATTTAAATATAAAATAATTTCAATCTTTAAATAATATTTCCGTTTCTTTTAAGTTGTCATAGTTTTCATTTTGAGAGTCAAATTGTATGAATTTTGACTAACATTTTTAAATGTATTTTTTTTACAAATTGATATGGAAAAAGTTAAAATTAATAGTACATTCCGTATAGTTTTTGAATATCTAAAGTTTAATTTAAAAATATTAAATTAATATTATCTAATTTAACTTTGAAAATTAGTCAAATTGACTTTTGAAAAGGGCAACATAACATTGAAAACTAAAAAAGAACGAAAAAAGTAGTATAATTTTTCGACAATCGAGCCTAGCTTCACGCATAATTGCTTTATGATTCTCTCAATTAAACCAATATTATCAGTATCCTGTTGGGCCAAATTAGTCCGAACAAATTGTTAACGTGTGATAGTCCCCTTTTAAGTTAAGCTCGTTTTGACTTTTTCCAAAGTGTTTCACACAATCACACCATTAATAATACTTCGATTTTATATTTAGCCTTTGTTTTTCTCTTATTAACTTCTGTAGTGTATAAAGTATTTTTTTTCACACACTCAATAATATTTCCATCGAAGTAAGTCATGAATAATTATGCTAAGATTTATGGGCTTATTTACCTAGAGATTGATTTGTGTTACCCACATCCAAACATTTATGGCCATACACGCAACATGAGAGCTTCTTCTTTTTTTTTGCCAAAAATAGGAAGAAATAGACGCATGAAAAAGTCAAAGAGGGTTCAATATTATCTATAATATATACATATAAGATAATTTTAATCAACTAATAATAATGTAATTTTTCACATAAGGAAGTTAGAATGAACCCCTCGCCCCTACTTTATACTAAAATAGTTTTTTCTTCTTTATTGGTCTATTTTAGCAAATCAAGAGAAATTTATCATTTTCTTCCAATATTACCCTTATCACTAAATGACTACATAAAGTACTGATAACTAGCCAAATTCGAATTTTCAAAGTATAACAAACACAATTAATTTAATAAAATATTGAAAAAGGGGAAGTCAGTCCCCCTACATAGCCAT